CTCCAACGATTTTATCAAAACCTCATGCTATTCTCAGATAAGAAACCAACTGGAAACACGAACAAGACTTCAGTTCTATTTAATCACCTTGTCTCAGGGGTGAAGGAATGTTTCCCCATCTCGGTTCTTCAACTGAAAAGCTGGCACCATGGACAGAGTTGTTAAATTAGCAAGTATGCCAGCACTTTCATTTATTAATTGGTAGGTTCCGTTTTAATTAAAAGCATCCTAGCTAATTAGTCATTTCACTGTGTGCACCGCCAGCTGAATAAGCTGGAGGACATGATGACAGCAAAAATAAACACTGCTCTCCCTCCAATTTATTAAGTTTGTATTGTCTTCCCTTTCACATGGAGTGAATCAAGGGAAACGTAAATTTAACCTTCTCTTCTTGCCTCTGTCCTGGTGAAATGTCCTGGTGAAAAGACTCAAATGAGTCTTATCTTGGAGTAAGTGGTAATAGGAGAAAGAGTATAGACGCGAAATTCATACATGTGGGTTTGGATGTTGGCTCTTCCACTTAGGAACTGTGTGGCCATGGGAAAATATTTAACTTGTATGGCCCTCATCTTTTCCTATCTAAAAATGCAGTAATACTCACCGCAGAGATTTGGTATGAGGGTTAAATGAGTAATCAAAGTAAAGGACCAAGTATACAACAGGTGCTTAACCAATGTCTGTCCCCATCATCACCACCACGACCCCATTCACTTGGCCATCAGGGCTCACTTCTTCTGAAATGGCTTCCCTGAGTCCCAAATCTGAGTCAGGCATCCCTCCTCTCTGTGTCTGTGCATTTATTCCTACCACATGACAGTACTTGAATCTTACATCTACTTGTATCCCCAAGTGGCGTGCATACATCCCATTAGCAACAATTGTGGTTATCTTATAAGAGTCAAATAAAAACAGTATTTTTCAGGGCGTCTGGGAGGCTCAGTCAGTTAAGTGTCTGACTCTTCATTTCAGCTCGGGTCATGATCTCATGGTCTGTGAGATCGAGCCCTACATCAGGCTCTGCACTGACAGCACAGAGCCTGCTTGGGATTCTAAGTCTCTTTCTCCCTCTCCCTCTGCCCCTCGCCACCCCCCACCCCAATAAATAAACTTGTAAAAAAATAGTATTTTCTAGAGGCACCTGGGTGGCTTAGTTGGTTAAGCATCTTCGCTTAGTGACTTCAGTTCAGGTCATGACCTCACAGTGCGTAAGTTCGAGCCTGGCATCGGGCTCTGTGCTGACAGCTCGGAGCCTGGAGCCTCCTTTGGATTCTGGGTCTCCCCCTCCTTGCCTTTCCTCTGCTCATGCTCTATTTTTCTCTCTCTCTCAAAAATAAATAAAAAACAAAAATAAAAAATAGTATTTTTCTAGTATATGATTTATGTTCCATAGCTACCAAGTTTGTAGAACATAAACACTTACTAAATTGTTTGGATAGAGCAACATAACAAATGAAAATTATTAAGGGTTTATTTTGGCCTATATTGTGTTGTGAAAAAATTACTGAGATGCCAAGGTGCTCGCGGTGAAATAAGAAAGTTCAGGAACATCTGGTACAGGAAAATGACGATGTTCTGAACCAAAGGACAATACTTGACATTACTGTTACAGTATAACCTTGCAGTTATAATAATGCCATAATTACAAGCTACCTGGTAATTGAGCCCTTACTACTTCCCAGCCATTGTTCTGAGCATCTGGTTGTGCTGTATGTAAGTAAAGGGGTCACATGTATTCACTCCTTTAAACCCTTCAAAAGGCCCAAAACAAAAGGTTTATTTCTCCCACTTACAGAAGAGGAAACTGAGGCCTATAGAGCACGAGTAACATGCTAAAAAGTCACTGCACGGGCTGATGCTGGAGCTGGGATTCAAATCCAGGCATCCGGACGCTCAGACTCAAGGCTCTTAACCACTTGCTTACCAAGGATGCAGGGATGCAAAGAAGGAGACAGAGCTGAGCTGTCTGTATGGAACAACCCACAGAATTTAGGAACTTATTTTAGGGACTGGAGACCGTAGAGGTTGGGGATGCCCACCTAGCCCACTTTCTTCAGAAACGCTCCCACCCACTGCCTGCTGACCCAGGGGACACAGGGAGATGTGTGCCTTTGTGGTCCTGACCCTGATCCCTGCCCTTGAACAAAGCTACAGGTTACTGGAAAGCCTGCCAGGTGACCCAAGCGTGACTAAATGAGGTCCTCGGAGAAACCGGAGACTGATGCAGTGACGTTCTCTTGCTTTTCTATGTCTGTAGAAAATCAGCCCAATCGGCCCAAATCAGATCAGCCCAAACAGATCATTGTTGTCATAATAATGACAGGATGCGGGGCACCTGGGGGGCTCAGTCGGTGGGGTGTCCAACTTTGGCAGAGGTCATGATATCGCGGTTTGTGGGTTCAAGCTCCGCGTTGGGCTCTGTGCTAACTGCCAGCTCAGAGCCTGGAGCCTCAGATTCTGTGTCTCCCTCTCTCTCTGACCCTCCCCTGCTCACGCTGCCTCTCTCCCTCTCTCAGAAATATAAATAAATAAATAAATAAATAAATAAATAAATAGACATTAAAAAAAAATAACTGGATGCAAAAAGGAAGGTTTACAACTTTTTGCTTTTGAGGTAGTTAGCTGGGCTTGCTCCCTCCCCACAGCTATGCTTCCTGAGGCTGATTTGTCCAGCGGTTTTGCAGATTTCCTGAGATCTGGACCCTGCCCCTACTTTCTTTCTTTGGAGCCAGATTTGCTAGACCTCTGTTCCTTTTAACCAAAGGATGTTTCCCTGGAACCCTGAACACAGATGTCATAAAATACACCATTAAATGGGAGGGGGAGCGGGTAATATCTCCATTGCTAAATATTTAGCCCCTTAAATTGGGTGGCCACGAGTGTCCGTCAGTCTGTAGACTTTGGCCGGGCCAAGTCCTCTTAGAAACCAGGCAGGTCTGCAGAGTTCACAAAAACAAACAGTTCAAAGAGGCGGCTTTCGGCACGGCCAGAGAGCTCAACAATCTACCAGGCAATTACACTGCTGTCAGATTGTAAATACACATTTGCAAATGCCTCTATAATTGTTCAGAAACAGTTTAGGCCTGTTCACGCAGGGCCAGCTACTGAATGTTAATGGGGAGGCTTCCCCAACATCTGCTTTCAGGGTTGGAGCCAGAGCTGTGCCATTTCAACGTTCCGGGGCACAAAGCAGCAGATGGGGTGTTTTTCCTGTGCCAACTCCCAGACAGGAAGAACTCTGAGGCAGTGGGCAGTTGCATGGCTGGCTGATGGGCTTGGTGCGGGCATCCCATCTCAGCTATACCAGAGTCTTCCGACAGCTGGTTTGGCTTCCTGGGCCTCTGGGAACTGCAGTAAGATGGGAAACCGCCATCACGAACTTGAGGTCGGGTTGCTTTGCACACTGTGTCCCTGACCTCACGCAGGATGGTCACCGTGATAATTAAAGAGATTCCTGCTCATCCAGAGCGTGATGTCTGGAGATGCCCCTGTAAAAGGCGGTCGATCTCAAGGCTTTTTGACTTTTGATACTGGGCTTGTGCCCAAAAGCGGTGTTTTTCTGCTTTCACCGTCTTAACACGAGAGAACTTTCTCTCTCCTGATTGGTGAGCATAGCGGCCTCAAATCCCTTTTCAGTTGCTCTGGATCATGACTGCTAAAGCAGGCAATGCCCCCAGCATCCTGTGCGGGTCACAGAACCCACATGTGAAACGTCAGGTCGGTGCGAGTTCTAACTGCCAGCAAGCCTTCCAGTTTGGGGGACTATCCATCCAGCCATTTCCCAGTATTATGGTGTATTACTTAGGGGAATAGCTCTGCTCTAACAGAATGACCCCAAGTAACAGTGGCAGGAAAATGACAGAATTTTATTCTTCTCTCATGTCACAGCACAAGGTGACAGGTTGCTTTGCTCCAGAGAGTCATTTAGAGATCCAAATTCCTACCACTTCGGGGTTCTGCCATGCCCTCCCCCCCCCCCCACCAAGAATTGTCCTCAATTGTATGGTCAAGGCTGGGTTGCAGACAAATCTGGGTCGTGGCTCTCAGGAAGGGGAAAAGGAGTCCAAGGAAGCTGGCTTATCTTTTAAATTAAAGATGACCTTAGGGGCGCCTGGGGGGCTCAGTCGGTTAAGCATCTGACTTCAGCTCACATCATGATCTCACGGTTCGTGGGTTCGAGCCCTGTGTCAGGCTCTGTGCTGACAGCTCAGAGCCTAGAGCCTGCTTGGGATTCTGTGTCTCCCTCTCTCTCTGCCCCTCCCTCGCTCACACTCTTTATCTCCCTGTCTCTCAAAAATAAATAAACATTTTTAAAAATTCTTAATTGGAGAGGACCTGCAAGGTCAACCTTCACTCACATCCCATTGGCCCCGATGAAGTTCCAGAGCCACATTTAACTGCAAGGGATCCTGGATAATGCTGTTTCTCCCGTGGGAAGCTCAGACCACAGCTTCAGCTCTGCTGCCGGGGAGGAAAAGGTGGCTGGGTTCTGACAGGTGGTTGGAAGTTTCTAGTCACATGTAACAGACAGAAAGGGATATTACCTCTGAATAAGATCAATGCCACACACTCTGTGCTGACTGCCAGCTCAGAGCCTGGAGCCTCTTTCAGTCTGTGGCTCCCTCTCTCTCTGACCCTCCCCTGCTCACGCTGTCTCTCTCTCTCTCCTAGAAATAAATAAAACATAAAAAAAAAAAAAAATTTAAAAAAAAAAAGATCAATGCCACACAGTCACAGAGTCAGCAAATATTTATTAAGTACCTACTCTATGTCAGAGACTTTTTCTTATAAGTGTTAAAGAAGATATTGTTAACATACTGTGGGTGAAATTATGCAACACTATAAACACATTTTTCCATTGTTTAAAAATTTTTAAGTTTATTTTTGAAAGAGAGAGAGTGAGAAGCACGAGCTGGGGAGGGGCAGAGAGAGAGGGAGTCACAGAATCCAAAGCAGGCTCCAGGCTCTGAGCTGTCAGCCCACAGCCCGGCATGGGGCTCAAACTCATGGACCACAAGATCATGACCTGAGCCAAAGTCTGACACTTAACTGACTGAACCACCCAGGCGCTCCTCACATTTTTCCACTTTTGAAAGACTTTTTGCTCTTTCAGGTAATAGAGGGCAGAGCGGGGAAAAGGCAAGGTATTTTTTACTTTCATATTGTGGAAAAAAAATATTCGCACCTGTCAGTTTCCGACAGCTGGTGTTATTGTTGTTCTTATGGGTAAGCACACACCAAATCCCCTTAGTTTTTGGGATTAGTCTCATAAATCATAACTTGCCTATAGCATGTTTGTGATGCTTCAGGAAGATCTTTTCAGAGGAGGAAACTAGATCATCAAGATTAAATTCAACTTCAAAGATGGGTTTTCCCCCCAAAATAATTAAGGCAACCAACAGGGCAAATTTCGCCGTTATTCCCTTGATTTGGTAGGTGACACCATCTTCAGGATGGCTGTACTCAAAGCAATGAACAACCACATGGTGGCCAGAAAGTGTCATGTGACTCTGGTGGTAGACACGGGGATGCAGGAAATACTCCAGAGGCACCAGGAACACCTTCTTAACTTCATCGGGATTAGGCTGGGCCTGGAAGTTGTGGTCTATAAATCCTACAACAGGGCTTATCAGCGTATCTCTCTGAAAGCAGAAAACAAAATACACTACTGAAGAAGAGCTGATCGTTTCAGATGCTAAAATCATGCCGCGTCTAGGAAAATAAGAAAATGGTGCAAAGCAGTCAAGCACATAAGGTGTGTGTGAAAGGGAGGAAGAATTTGCTGTAGACATGAATGAACTTCATGCTCCCCGTGAGGCGGGGGGACATGCACGAGGCAGCATCTGTGAGGTGACTCCGAACGTACCGGCATCATCTCTGCGAAGAGCAGCCGGGCAATATTATAAAGATGTGGTCCCTTGCACCTAGCAGCTGCATTTGTGCAAGTATAGCTCTCTGATAAACTCCTACCAGCGAGGGAAGACACAAGACTGAAGCATTATTTGCACTGAAGTGACTACTTCTCCGGACATTCAGCGTAGGTCAGTTAGGCATGTATCCATATAAGGGGGTCCTCTCGGCCCTGAAGATGAATGTGACAGATACCACCTGTCCCCATCAGTGCGAACGAAGACATGCCATCTGACCAATAGAAAAGTACAGTGACATTTTCACTGTGGCGTATACCCAATTATGGGAAATTACACTTATATATGAACTCTTTTATACAACATAGATGACTGTGTATGGGGTGGGGATTTCTATTTATAAACACAACTGCTTGCAAATGAATGCAAGGTATTGTGAAGTGAAAGACCCCACTGCAAACCTGGAGGGTGAGGCCTGGGGTTCTGGCAGGAGCTGCGTAAGAAGAGAAGAGCTGCGGGGGCGCCTGGGGGCTCAGTCGGCTGAGCGTCCGACTTCGGCTCAGGTCCTGATCTCACGGTCCGTGGGTTCGGGCCCCGCGTCGGGCTCTGTGCTGACAGCTCAGAGCCTGGAGCCTGTTTCAGATTCGGTGTCTCCCTCTCTCTCTGCCCCGCCCCTGCTCATACTCTGTCTCTCAAAAATAAAGAAACATTAAAAAAAAAAAAGTTAAAAAAAGAAGGGCTGCATAGGCTTGAAATGGAAAGTGAGGAAAATCTGGAGCTCCTAAGTGGCATCCCGAGAGAAGCCAGGGCAACGCTGGGAGACCGACACCATATTCCAGGGTGGCAGGCCTGTGGAGAACTTCTCAGGGGAGCGACAGCTGACGCATGTCTAAGAACAGTGACGACTCAGACCGTTACGGAATTAATGGTGACAGTCAAGTGCGTGGACCAGGAGGGGAAGGTGGGGGCACGGGCTTCAGCTGCCCTTTGGGTGGGAAATGTGAGGTCATAAGTGGGGCAGAAGCAGTAGCCCCCACCTGGCCCTGGGCGGACGCTCAGCCTCTTGGGTCACAGGGCGCCCCGGAAGTGGACTCTGAGCGATGAGGCATGCAGATACGAGTGATTTCTGGGAGCACGAGGCAGGGAGGAAGCCGGGCAAGGGCAGCTGCGGCCGTTCCCCTCCGAGCTGGACACTGATGACCCCCAGCACGGTCACTGGCGAAGGAGCGCCTGGCTGAGAGAGTTCTCGGCCCTGCAGGCTCTCTGTGAGCAAGGGAAGGTGGAAAGCTGCCGGCGTGAGCTTTCAGAAGTACAGTGAGAGGAGTGAGAAAGGGTGTGGGAGAACCTGGAGTGTTCGTGCTTGCCGTCGCCACGCCGTGACCACAGCCTCGGGGGCCTGGCCTAGTCCCCAGCACCCTCTCTCTGCTTCTTTCTGCCCAACAGCCTGACCCGGAGGAAGCTTTACCGATGGAAATCAGACCTGAGGAAACCTGCTCAAGGTCAAAGCCAGCTAGTACTTGGCAGGAACCAGGACTCACCTGGCCTGCGGCCCACACTCCAGAGCACGGCGCCGGGGTTCTCTGAAGACCCAAATGGCGCCGTATCTCAGAGGCGGCACACCAGCCTTGCACACGGCTCACACACGCTCTGGAGAGTTCGCAGCTGCAGCTCGGACTTGAGCTCTTGCTGAGGGCGGGGCGAGGGACACGCATCCTTACCGTAAGAACCAAACCGTTATAGGCACGGATATGGACAAGCAGCTTAGCGAGGCCAGTGCTGCCCCTGGATGAGCGTGTCAGAGTCTGATGAATTTGGTGGGAAAAATATCAAAGCCACAAAGGGAGATGATGGTTTGAGGCCGAATGTTTCAGATGGATAGTCAGGCATGTTCACCATGGTTCAAGCTTAGAGAAGCGAGAGCTTGGGTATGAGTGAGTGAATCAGCATCTGTGGACACCCAGTTTCCTCGACACAGGTGTCCATCTTGGAAGGAAGAAAGATGGCGGGTGCCCGGCAGACATTCTAGGACCGAGAAAAGACTGAATCTTGACCACCGGCTGAGCTGGAATCCCGCAGAGACTGGCTTAGGCTGTGGAAACGGGGCCAAGGCCTGCTTCTGGGCCCCTGGAGGAGGCCACATGCTCTCTTTTTATTTAATGTTTATTTATTTTTGAGAGAGAGACAGTGTGTGAGCAGGGTAGGGTCAGAGAGAGAGGGAGACACTGAATCCGAAGCAGCTCCAGGCTCTGAGCTGTCAGCACAGAGCCCGACGCGGGGCTCGAACTTACAAACCGTGAGATGATGGCCTGAGCCGACGTCGGACGCCTAACCGACTAAGCAGCCCATACGCCCCAAGCCACATGCTCTCAGAAACACACCCAGGAAGGGACACGCCACTGAAATGCATGAAATGTTTACAGGAGTTGAAGCTTCAGGGATGGCAAAGTGAAAGAGTGAATGGAAACGTACAGGCCACATACGGAGAAAAAGGAGAAAGGTCTCCTGAGATTTTACAGAGAAAAATACAAACCTGTATGACAAAACAACCACTGGGGTGGGCCTGGAGGGCCACAGCCTGCCTTAGGGTGGGGGAGGGGTTAGTGCAGGGGCAGGGAAAAGCCAACAGCACCCACTCTAGCTCTGACACCCCAAAAGATCTCCAGACATGGCCATGTTCTCTGGGGGGCCAAATCACCCCAAGGTAAGAAGCACTGAATTAGATTATGCTTTTAAGTGTTTAATACATGGCATTTTGTCCATTTAAAAGAATTGTGAGGTTTAAAGAACAAAGCAAGCCTTGCTAGCACCTCCGAACACAGTACACCTTTCTTTTTTTTTATTTATTTTTATTTATTTATTTAAATTTTTTATTTATTTCTAGGAGAGAGAGAGAGAGAGAGAGAGCGTGAGCAGGGGAGGGTCAGAGAGAGAGGGAGACACAGACTCTGAAATAGGCTCCAGGCTCGGAGCTGGCAGTCAGCACAGAGCCCGACACGGGGCTCGAACCCACGAACCACAAGATCATGACCTAAGCGAAAGTCGGACACTTAACTGACTAAGCCACCCAGGCACCCCACAGAGTACACCTTTCTTGAAGGCCCTGTGTTCATTCTAATTTCTTGACAGTGTGACTGGCATGACCCTATCAAGAGCAGGTCATTTTAGAAGCGCCCGGCTCCGGGAGGGTCTGGCCCACCAAAGTCTCCTGGTGACCTGACACTGTCCGGTGAAGACTGTTGTTACCCCACCACTCCCAGGCCGAACTCAGTGGCTCCCGGGCACCTCGGAAGTGGAGTCCCTCTCACTGTGGGAACCTGTAACCATCATGGTTCAATCTGGCAATGGGGTTTTCAGAGAAATCCCCAAAGTGTGCCGGTGGATTTTGCAGATGCCAAGCGGAAGAGGTTCCCGTGAGAGAACGCAGCTGCCTAGAAGTTCACTGACACATTCCTTGTCCTAATCCCACATTTCCCCTCCTAGTTAGGAAGCATTTATTTGAGGGGCCATTAGCTTCTTCCCCATTAAATCTCCCCTGAGTGGTGACCTTCCTGTTTTTCAAATGGGCCCTATTAAGACAGATGTCTCAGCAGCATTGACTGTGACGACACTGTACCGCCAACACATCAGGCCAAATGGAACATAATGGTCTAACCCGCTGGTGTTCTAATTGCATCAGAGGGACTCTCCTCTTGAAATAAAAATTTACCTGGAGGCCCAATGTATAAAACATACAGTCTATGCCTACCTCTGATATGTGATTAGAACACTTTGCCTTTGTGGTAGTCTTCCTCAGAGCCCACAACCCCAGCCTAACCATGAGGAAAATATAAGACAAGTCCAAATGGAGAGGCATTCTACAACATTCCTGACTAGTGCCCCTCGAAAGTGTCAAGATCAAGTCAGTCAGGTAAGCATTGGACTCTGGCTCAGGTCATGATTTCATGGCTTGTGGGTTCGAGCCCTGCATCAGGGTCTGTGCTGACAGCTCGGGGCATGGAGCCTGCTTCGGGTTCTGGGTCTTCCTCTCTCTCTGCCCCTCCCTTCTTGCGCTCTCTCTCAAAACAAATAACCTTAATATTTAAAAAAAATAAACAATAGAAATGAGTATATTTAGGACAAATTTGACATACTGGTGGCCTCCAAGGGGCTAAAATTTGGTCTACAGCATGCTCAAGTGAGTGAGGTTTCTTCAACTGAATTCTCAAAAGAAATGCCAACTGGTGAAAAGTAAATGGAAACTGAAAGAACTCTGAAGCATCGACAGGGTTCCACAGAAACCAGTTTGAGAACCAGTGGTGGAGCTTGACCCTTTCATTTTTGGATGGCCCAAGAGGGGCCCCAATGGGGAAATGGGTTTTGCCCAAAGCCACTGAACTCACAAGAGCCAAAGTCCACATGAGAACCAGTCTCTTAACTGTGCACAGCACAGTCGAGGATCCTGTTTGGCCAAGCAAGGAGTGCTGAAGCCGGTGGATCCGATCCCCAGGGGTCCCCCCCCCAACACTCACCTCTAGGAGATAGGGCACAAGGCGGCAGACGACCTCTACCTGGCAGGGGCGCAGCCCCACTTCCTCCTGGGCTTCCCGGAGAGCCGTGGCCACAGCATCCTCGTCCGTGGGTTCACGCTTGCCTCCGGGAAAGCAGACTTCTCCAGGTGACCTCCTCAGCTGGGTATGAAAGAGCAGAGCAGCAATGCGGGCCTCTCCCTCGTTCAGCAGGGACGCCCTGAACTCCTATTTTGTGTCGGAGGTCATTCCCGCCACACCAGGAATGCAAATCCAGGTTCCATCAGGAGAACCCTAACTGGAAGCTAGGGGCCCGGGGTTGGTTCTCAGCTCTGTCAAACAGCACAGGAGAAGCACTTCGATATATTTTTCTAACAGTGAGGACAAACGATAGTAGAAAATTTACATGACATGAAATGAACCATCTTCAAGTGAACCACTCAGTGACATCTAACACATCCACAGTGTGGCGTGAGCATTGCCACTACGTGGTTCCGGAATATTTTCATCCCAGAGGGAGACCCTGTACTCACTAAGCGTCTGCTCCCCATACCTCCCTACCACACCCCTACTTTTGGTGTCTGGATTTACCGACCTCAGGCTATTTCATATAAATGCAATCATATGACATGTGACCTTCCTGTCTGGTTTCTTAGACTCAGCATAATGCTTTTAAACTTTTTAAATTTTTATTTTAAAAAAATTTTTTTAATGTTTATTTACTTTTGAGAGAGAGAGAGACAGAGCACGAGCGGGTCAGAAGCAGAAAGAGAGGAAGACCCAGAATCCAAAGCAGGCTCCAGGCTCTGAGCTGTCAGCACAGAGCCCGACGTGGGGCCCGAACCCACGGACCGTGAGATCATGACCTGAGCCAAAGTCGGATGCTTAACCAACTGAGCCACCCAGGTGCTCCAAACGTTTTCAACTTTTAAAGTTTTAACTGAGGTATAGTTGACATAGAATATTAAATCAGCTTCAGGTGTATAATATCGTGATTCAACGATTATATACATTACATCAAAGTGAGGTTTTCTGACTCTTCCATGTTGCATCACGACATATCAGTACTTTTTCTTCACAGAACACTATTCCACTGTTTTTTTTTTTTTGACAGAACACTATTCCACTGTTTCCACTGTGTGTAAACGTCACAGTTTGTTATCTTTTCAGAAAAATTTATTTTTATTTTAGAGAAAGAGCACAAGTGGGGAAGGGGGGCAGAGGGAGGGAGGGAGAGAGAAAGAGAGAGAGATAGAGACAGAGAGAATCTTAAGCAGGCTCCACACTCAGCATGGAGCCTAACATGGGGCTCGATCCCATGACCCTGAGATCATGACCTGAGCCAAAATTGAGAGTCTGACGCCCAACTCCCTGGGCCACCCAGGCGCCCCCACAATTTGTTCTCTCTCCATGCATTTGTGGATATTCAGGCCACCATTATACTGCTATCACTTCCACTTTCTGACAAGGGAAGGTTAAATAACACAGGCAGGGTCACACAGGGGGTGTGCAGTGGAGCTGGACGGCACACCAGCGTGTGATTCTACACCCCATGCTCTTAACCAGCACACCAGACACTGATTAAGGGCTTCCTGGAACACCGGAAGTGCGGTCACCTGAGCCAGTGGAAGTGACAGTTGCTGGTGCCTCCGTGTCTCTTTGCATGGGAAGGATCAGGAGCCCCTTCTCCCTGCACTGCCCGTCCCCCCTCCATCCTCGATTCCACGCCTCCCTGACTTCAGAACTGGGGCTCCATTTGCTGCGTCCTCAGTCGCTTTCTCTCTCTTGTCTCGGTCTTGTTTTCTCTCATCTGGGCCAGAGGTGGAGAAGCATATCCCCTCGTGTGGGACCAAATTCCTCAGCAACTGTGACCTCAACTTCATTGATGCTCACTTACGCCCAGCTCCCGGCATCCTCTCTCTACTGAACTGTCAAGGAGGCCTCAGGCTCAGAGTCCGGGGTGGGCCTCTTCTCGACAGGGCACCATGGCGGGTGGGGGGGGTGGGGGGGAGTAATGTGCTGCACATACCTCCCAAGGCCAAGTACCAAGTACCTCCCAGGGTCACAGTCACAGGAACTGGTGGCTGTAGTTCATGGCACAAGGCCTGGCCCGTATGAAATATTTATTAATGTGAGGCCAGTTCTTGATGGTTAGAAATCAAGAGGTCCTGTTGGCATTTTTAGCACCAGGGCCCATATATCTGTGTAAGAACAAACCAGGTGCCATTATCAATTCTGCAGCACTCCAGAATTTAAAGTCCCATTTGAGCAAGCTTTTTAAAAAAAACAAAAGAAAACACTGTAAAGTTCCTCTCTGCTAATAAATCAATGACACTGCAGGAATTGCCACAGTACGTAGAAATCACCCACATCTTCATGTCAATTAGAGTTATGAGCTGGTGGAAACAAAGCTGAGGGATAGGTTTCTGCCATCTTGACTACTGACCACCCCCATGCCCAGGAAAGAGACGGTCTGTAAGATCACCTCGGACAGAAGAACTCCATTCTGTTAGCTCATGCAGCAGCAAAGCAGTAGTGGCAGAAGGCACTGACTGGGAATCATCAGCCTTGACAGAAATACTGACCTGATGTAATGGCTATTTCAAATGATCTTAAGAAAATGCTACACTGTTTTGGGGGCGCCTGGGGGGCTCAGCTGGTTAAACGTCCGGCTTTGGCTCAGGTCATGATCTCACGGTTCGTGGGTTTGAGCCCCGCATCGGGCTCTGTGCTGACAGCTAGCTCAGAGCCTGGAGCCTGCTTCAGATTCTATGTCTCCCTTTCTCTCCGACCCTCCCCTGCTCATGCTGTCTCTCTCTGTCTCAGAAATAAATAAAACATTAAAAAAAAAAAAAAAAACAAAGAAAGAAAATGCTATGCTGTTTTGAAGGAACAGACAGCTCCTACAGCAAAGAATTATCCAGCCCAAGTGGCCATACCATCAAGGTTGAGAAACCCTGACCTAGAAGTATTTCTAATGACTTGCTAACTACCTACTTATTTTTCCTTCTAAAACTTCTCCAAAATCTGCCACGCTACCCTCTGGCTTCCTGTCCCCCTGAACATCACAGTCTTCAAAGTCCATGTGAGAATCCATGGACTCAAAATGCGTGCAAGTGACGGATTTGGCGGGGTTTTCGGATGTCCTGGAATTTTAATGGCAGGGGGCCTTTCTGTCACCTACCTTCTCTGACCGGAGGGTAAACAACAGATAGAGTTTTCCTTCTTTCGCCAACAATGGTATAAGGACGGAGTATTTGTCGTAGGACAGGTGAGAATATCTGGTCCCAGCATCATGCTTTTTTAAGCGGGCCTTAGCATCATCTATCAATCTGTCTCTGAAACGGAAGCACACCGAACTCTTTAGTAAACAGTTATGATAAAAAGCTCCCAATCCTGCCTATGGTTCTGGGGTGCCTCTCGGAGCCTCCCAGGGCTGACTCCCATTGTATTTTTCAATAACGTGGCAGGAATATTAATATCACCCCAATGGTATGACAGTGGGCAAGATAAAATGAGCAAGGAAAAAAAAACCTGCTAACAATACAGTTTAGTGTATGTGTTCACTTTGAAAACTAAGTTGAAATTACAGTAAAAGATTCTTTCAAAAATGCAGCAGTTACCTGTTGAAATCCTTGGTTCTATTCCTAGGACAGGTTTGGTGAACCGGTCATTGCAAGCGAGCCCCCTCTTAGCCTGAGCCTGGCCCTCATGTTACCAAACCCTTCTGTCTTCAATTGCCTTATCAAGCTTTAAAAAAAAAAGGGGGGGTTAAAAACCCTTCTGTCTTCGATTGCCTGAAAGTTCCCAAACTCCAGGGGCAACAGGTTCACCGTGTTCCAACATAGATCGCTGCGCCCACCCCAGAACGGTGACTCGGTACGCTTGGGGAGGGGCCTGGGGCTTAGCATCCGACTCCCAGCGCTGCTGATGCCACTGCGGTGGGCCAGAGGAACCCACTTTGAGAACCATCGCCTGATACCATGCAAGTATTTGGATCTATAACCACGTTTGGTTCCCTGAATTCATGACTTTGAACGTTCTGGTCCTCTTGACTGGGGTATTTTGTTGCTGGTCTGTGTAGTATATAGTTTAAATAGCGTCCCTGAAAATCCATGTCACCCAGAAGGCTCAAAATGCGATTTTATTTGGAAGTAGTACCTTTGCATGTGTAGTCACGAGTCTCTGAGATGAAATCACTCTGGATTTAGGGTGGGCCCTACGTCCAGTGATTGGTGTCCATAGAAGAGGAGATGACATAGAGACAGACAGACACACACACACACACTCACACACACACACACACACACGCACGCACGGAAGAAGGCAATGTGAAGACAGAGGCAGAGATTACAGTGATGTGACCACAGGCCAAGGAACATCAAGACCCATTGGAAGCCGCAAGAGGCAGGAAACTCAGCCGTCCAGGCTTCTGGACTACGGCAGGATGAATTCCTGTTCTTTTAAGCCTTCAAGTCTGACACTTGGTTACGGCAGCCCTAGAAACTAACAGTTTGGTTTTAGTTTTGCTCTGGGAAAGGCAATTTTGCAGAGTGGGCAAAATCAGATATTCGAGGGGCACCTGGGTGGCTCAGTCGGTTGAGCGTCCGACTTCGGCTCGGGTCATGATCTCCCGGTTCGTGGGTTCGAGCCCCCCGTCGGGCTATGTGCTGACAGCTCAGAGCCTTGGGGCCTGTTTCAGATTCTGTGTCTCCCTGTCTCTCTGACCCTCCCCTGCTCATGCTGTCTCTCTCTCTCTCTCTCAAAAATAAATAAAATATTTTTTTAAAAAATCAGATATTCGAGTCGGGCAGAACCGCGGGTCAGGTGTTTCGGAATGAGCTCTCCAGGCCGTGCCTTCCTCCCCTGCGACGTGCTTGAAGGTGTCTGTGCACACGCAGTGACACTGCTCACATACTGTGGCTGGCACTCTGCCAGCGCATAGTGGGTGGTGCCTGCCGTCACAAATGTGTCTGGCAGGAGATAGGCAGTTGTTTGCGGGAGGTGTTTGCTTTTTTTCGGTTTGTTTTTTGGCCTATTTCTTCATGGCAGGATGCTCACTAGAAGGGGCTGGGCGACAGCAGTGGATTCCAAAAACACCAAACGCCCGAAAATAACCACAACCCGCCGGCACTGGAGGGGACTCCGGAGTGTACCCCATGCACACGGCCGCCCCCCAGAAAACTGGCCCGTCAGAGTAGCACTGGACCCACCGAGTGTGGCTTTTTAGGAGGCCCCAGAACTGAACACTGGGACCAGCAGAAGCAAAACCCGCAAAAGCGTGTCTGTCCACGTTAGGGGCTGGTCCGTGGAATAACCACCATACAGACGGCACCGTAGCAGCCTTCCTGTTCTGAGCAAGGGCTCATCCTGCGCATTCCACGCTTTTCTCCATGCTCACAACAGCCCGGCCGGGTTAGGGCTTGGTCCCGCCCAGGCTCCGAGAGGTCGGGTGACTGAGAGACCCAGGGTCACGGCTGGAAGTGGCCACCGGGACCTTGAACCCGGAGCTTCCTGGTGCGGGCTCCTGGTTTCTGGGATGGAATCCAGAAAAGCCCGAAGCTGAAGAGGAAAGGCGGCTGCGCAGGAGAAAGGGGCGCGACCCTACGATGCTGGGTGTGCGCCCATGGGTGCAAAGGCTCCGGGGCCCCGCGGGCGACCTGGGAGGCGAGCGCACCCAGAGCGGGCTCCGCACGCGGGGAGATGGGCTCGGCAAGAACAGTCCCGGCCGAAAGGCCCCGGCGCCGCGCTCAAGGTCGGGCCGGGCCCTGCTTGGAGTGCCCGGGGCCGGGGAGACTTTACCTGACAGGCTCCGGGGCAGGACCGGGTCGAGACATCTCCAGCGCAAAATTTGTTTCCGGACCCAAACTCCTCGCTGGCGCTGGGCGGCCGAGTGGGCATGCGCAGAGCAGCCGCGGCCTGGGGCGGGGCGGGGCGAGGGGCGGGCCCTAGGGACTTGGGGGCGGGGCTTAAGTCCAGGCCGTAAGGGGACACGCCCAAGCGGTTTCTGCCCAGCTCCTTGATCTTGCACAGGAACGGGGAGCCCATGAGAAATTCTGAGGTTGAGCGTTGTAAAAAAGGAAGGGGGGGAAATGCAGTGTAGGTGTTTTAGGAGGACTCTGACACCGCATTCACTGTTGCTAGGAGGTTACGTTGGTTCAACTTTTCTGAACAGCAGTCTAGCACGTTTACTCAGCCCCTACTATGTCCTTGGGCAGATCCCATAGCCCCGCAAAAGACACGTGGAACCAGCCTGCAGACAAGCGCTTGAGAGAGACAGCGATCAAACAATTACATAGATAAATCAGAGGCCTTTAGTCCTTGGGGGGCATATGAGGGAGAAACATGGGTGAACCAGGTCAGAGAAGGCTCACCATAGAGAATGAAAACACGCCGACCTCCAGAGCAGCTGTGCTCCACGTATGGTCCTGGGACCAGAACAGGAGCATCACCTGGGTGCTGTTAAAAATGTAGATTCCGGGGCGCCTGGGTGGCTTAGTCGGTTAAGCGTCCGACTTTCACTTAGGTCATGATCTCGCGGTTTGTGGGTTCGAGCCCCGCGTCGGGCTCTGTGCTGACTGCCAGCTCAGAGCCTGGAGCCTGTTTCAGTCTGTGACTCCCTCTCTCTCTGACCCTCCCCTGCTCACGCTGTCTCTCTCTCTCCTAGAAATAAATAAAACATTTAAAAAAATTTAAAAAAAATGTAGATTCCGAGGGTGTCTGGGTGTCTCAGTCGGTTGAGCTTCCGACTTAATGCTCAGGTCATGATCTCGAGGTTGGTGGGTTCCAGCCCTCTGTGAGGCTGTGGCGACAGCTCAGAGCCTGGAGCCTGCTTCAGGTTCTGTGTTTCTGTCTCTCTCTGCCCCTCCCCTGCTCATGTGCGCCCGCTCACTCTCTTTCTCTCTCTCTCAACATTAAGAAAATAAATTGAAAAAAGAGTAGATTGTTGGGCTCACCCCAGAGCTGCTGTATCAGAAGCTGGAGGTAAGGCTAGCAATCTGGGCTGTAAGGGGAGTGGGATATTTGGAAAGCCGCTCCTCTAAAGTGTGTTTGGAAAGTAAATAAGGGGAGAGGGTCCCAGGAAGAGAATAAGTTTGTACAGAGACCCCAGAAGGGGCTGGAGAAAGTGTGGCAGGGACCCTGCCTATTTATTTCATAAAATATAATTATATTATCATTATTTCATGGAGGAAGAGGTCCACAAAACCAAAAATTGTCTAGAGCCCATGAAATATCACCATGTGGCCATTGGACGTGGGACTGTTGAGCCACAATTCCTAAGACCTTTAAAACCACTGAACTCTGGGGCGCCCGGGTGGCTCAGTCAGTTAAGCGTCCGACTTTGGCTCAGGTCATGTTCTCACAGTTTGTGGGTTCGAGCCCCATGTTGGGCTCTGTGCTGACAGCTCGGAGCCTGGAGCCTGCGTCTGTGTCTCCCCGTCTCTCTGCTCCTCCCCTATTCATGCTCTGTTTCTGTCTCAATAATAAATAAATATAAAAAACAAAAAAATTTAAAGTAAAGAAATAAAACCACTGATTTCAGATGTTGACCTTGCCAGTCCTTGCCAAGGCCAAGAGAGCCCAAACTAAAAGCTTGTTGGCATCCAAATAATAACGTTTTTTTGTTTGTTGGTTTTTATTTGTCCGCCCAAGGCGGACACTTAAACGACTGAGCCTCAGGCACCCCCCAAATATTAATGTTAATAGCACCTTCAGCCACATTAGTGAACTTATTAATCCTTTGAGCAACTGCACAAAAGAGAGTCATTTCCACAGAGGTGTTGCTGTCCTCACTTCCCAGATTTGGAAATTTAAAAATGTCTTGGTAAGGCCACACAGCTAGAGTTCAAGGTTAGATGGTTCTGACCTCTGTGTTCATTTATTTTTGACACCACTTCTCAGAGGCTAGTGACCTATGAATTATGTGGATCTGATTGTGAATGAGCAGATAAATACCCAATATCCACTGTGTAGCAGCTATGTGCCAGACATGTCGAAGATGGGGGCCCATGACCTCTAAAGCCTCCTGGTCTATTGGGGGTAATAATGACATGAATGTCAGCTTTACTAATGCACAGTATGCTCTCAGCTCTGTGTGCGAAGGGATAGAAGACCAGTTCAGAGAATCAAGTTGAGGGCTGAAAATCACTGAGGATTTTACTGGCCCTTTTTTCAGACGTCCTTTGTCTGAATCCTCATTTTGAAGATGAGGCTCAGAGTGGGTGAGTGCCTTGCTCACGGTCTCACAGCAGGTAAATGGATGGCGCCTGGTTTTGATCCCATCCACTGAACTGCACACTCCAGCAGGATTTGAGAGGCAGGTGGAATTTCAAAGGCCAAGGCGGGGAAGTTGACATTCTGGGCCAAGGGAAGGTCAGACGCCAGGCGTGGGTGAGGGCTCTTGCTCAGAGGGGTAGGCAGCATAGCGCACTGGAACAAAAAGGGACATTTTTCAGAATGGAGCTCTGGGAACAGATGAAAAGGCTTTGGAAGCCAAAGCAAAATGGAGGTTGAACTTCTTCCAGAAGAGAGGGGAATAAGGGTTTCCTGGGAGATCTCTGTGGAAGCAGGGTGGGAATGAATTGAAAGTGGGGAGTGACCAGAGGAAAGTGGGGGAGGGGAGGCTCTTCCAAAAGCCTGGACCCAAGGGACAGAAAAAGATGCTTTAAATGTTCAGCAAAATTCACATACTCCCAAATGAGAAAGTCAGAGTGTGGCAGGGGTCCGGGTTGCTTTAACGTACAATGCGGCATCCCGAGATGCTTTGCTGCGTACCAGGGCCCCGTCCACAGCATCTTCTTTCAAGATCAGAAATACTGCTGTAAAAACATTTCGTTTTTATGGCTTTTGTAAGGCTGGGAGCCGTAGCACAGGGAACACCGCAAGGTGAAGTGCATCATAATAAGATTATATATGTAGTGGTGTGTGTATATCTCTGCACCTGCAAAGCAACGCAGGCTTCAAGGTTAACAGGCAATGTCTTTTAGGGGAAATGACTTGTCTCTGTAGTTTCTGCGCACCAATTTGTTGGTGGGAACATAATTCTGGAAAATGTGTTAAAGAGAAGCAAAGTTGCATCAAGGTCCAGGCCAGCCCGCAATGCCAACACCTCACTGGTGTTTCTCTTAGAGAAGCACACCCCAGGGCGCAGGGTGGACCTTATCTACAGGCCACCCATCTGGAACCTTTATTTGAGCAGCACCCCACGGCCAGGCCTGGGTGGTACAGAGATAAGAAAATACCAATCAGCCTTCAGGAGCAAAGGCTGTCTGGGGAAAAGACCTACAACAAACAATTAACTTGAATCCCAGATAAGTGCTTTAATCCAGGAAAAGGGCTAAATGCTCTGGGGTGGGGGAGGGGCATAGCGAACAATGAATTCTGCCTGGGCATGGGCAGGGGGGGCGCGGTGGGGGGCAGGTAGGCTGTGGACAGAAGGGAAACTTCTAGGGAACGTACACTGGGCGTTATTTTCCGAGGATATCTGAGTTTCCTCCGTTCCTCCCGCTTGTGGGAGGGTCTCTAAACTCTTGAAAGTCCTAAGGGAGCATCTCCCCTGTGCATCGGAGCCTGAGTACACCCACAACTGCTGAGTTGGGTGTTTGCAAAGCAGAGGCTTCCCCCTCTCACCCTGCCAACTCACACCCCCATCCTCCATCAACTCTCTTCCACCCCCAAATCAGACAGAGTTAAAGAGCCACGGTCTTCCCCCCTTTTAAGGAGAGGAAGTTGAAGGAGTTCTTTGAGGACCAGATTTAAACAGGAGTTTCTCTACAGATGGGACAGGGGTCCTCAGCATCAAAATCATTTGGGGGCAAGGAGGCTGCATGAACACCTCAGTGCCCCAGATCCCACCCCAGAGATGGTGAAACCCACCCAGGAATGTGCATTTCTTTTCCGTTTTTTAAAAAAATTTTATTTATTTTGAGAGAGAGAGAGAACATGAGCAGGGTGGAGGCAGAGAGAGGCAGAGAGAGAGAGAGTCCCAAGCAGGCTCTGCACTGAACCTGATGCGGGACTCGAACTCACAAACTGGGAGATCATGACCTGAGCCAAAATTGACTGAGCCACCCCAGAACATGCATTTCTGAACATGCTTCTCGGTGACTCTGCTGTAAAAGTTGAAGACACTGGTTTAACGGCTCCAAAGGGAGACATTTGATGTTGAGAAGATAAAGTTCCTCCTTGTAGCTGACGTGGCAGGGGGGGGAGGGGCGAAGCGGTGGTGCCTACCAATGTCAGGAGCTACCATTCCTGGTACCCCTGGAAAATTCTTCCTCTCTGGTCTTGGGAGCTGGTGATTCGGGCTGATCTGTCTCAGGGGAGGCCCCAGGGGGATTGACCGGATCATTTCATAGAGAGTGGGCTGGACTGGGCTGATCCCTACATAATGTGGTCCTTGCCTTTTTTCCTATTAACCCCATTAGAAAGGAAAGAGTTTACGAGTTCGGTTTAGTATGTTCTCTGGTAAGTGCCCACTCCTGGCTAGGCACGGCGTTGGGTGTCAGAGATATAAAGACACGCGACAGTTGCCCCTCGCTCTTGAGGTTGGCGTCAGACACGGCGATGAGTAGTGTTAGTCTATACTCTCATCTCCTGGGGGCTGATTCAGCCTGGAGGTTCTTGGACTGTGGCCTCAGGGATGCTCACCCCGGTGGGGCGCAAGCATCTGCACTTATATCTACACCTTCGGGCGATGCTAATAGAAGTGAAGTGTACACTTTGAAAGGAGGAGAAATGGAACTTGAATCTGCAAATAAAATCATAAAACACAATACAAGACAATCAAATTAAACAATAGGGGAAATGAGCCAGGCCCAGGAAGTCTGGGTAGGCGCTTGAGCCGAAAAGCCAATGACTTGAGACGGCCCTTGATTTCTGG